GGAGCCCCTCGAGCACTTGCAGCACGCTCGCGTGTTGGTACGTGCCTATGACCGTGCTCGTCGTGCTGGGTTCACTGCTCCTCCTCAGCCCATTGACCCTCCTCCTTCTCCTCCGGCTGAGGAGACCGCTGAAGTTGATCCTGCTCCATCTGAGGCAGACCTTCAGCAGCAGCCGGATGCTTCTGAGCGTCCACAACGCACTCGTCGTCGTCCTGCTCGATACGACGATTGACTTTGACTTACCTTCCCACGTCTTTGACTTCTCAGTACTCCATCCACATCAGTTTTGCTACTTCAGCTCGTCGACGCTGCGGCTCTTCCTCGATTCCGGACTTCTCATTGTGGATGTCATCGGCAGCTTCATGGACTTCATCACGATCAGCTCTACCTACTTCAGACGTCGCCACTCTCTTACCACTCTACCCTGTACAGTACCCTGCTTGTGTCACATGATGGTCTCCCTTTAGCCGGGTTCCTCTGAGTTGGGCTCTCCCTTGGTATACGCATAGGCATCGGGACCGTAGCGTTGCCCTGGCTTCCCATCTTACGGATCTAGCTCCGACTTCCCTCACTTTAGAATTCATTTGCATGATTCTCTTACCCATCATCTTTCTACCCTTCGCCGGCCCTCACGCCCTAGTTAGGCAGCCCCGCATGCTTCATCTAGGTGCGCCCAGTATACCAGGCCCCCTTGTTCCCTTGCATGGTCGACCCTCCATAGCAGTCACCACTTAGTCGAGCATTACCCGCCCTGATGGTCTATCTGTTAGGGTCATTGGTTCTGTTCGCTCCCAGTTCCCTACCCTCATTGAGCCTGATGACATGTGTTTTCCCCTGTCACTATGTGTGGATGCCCTTAGGAGTTTTCGACCCCTAGGCTGCATTCACCACCCTCAGAGACCATCCCACCCTTTGGTGTGCGACACACTTCTCATGTGACATATGGTTGTCTTGTTGATTGCTTTGTTGCTCTTTGACTGAGGCTACTGCCTCCGACGTTTCTAGGATTTAGCTGTTCTGCTTTGGCTGTTCTTAGGACTTATACACTAGTCGGTTGTTACCAGACCGAGGCTAGCGCCTCCAACATTCTAGGATCTAGTTGTCACTACTTTTTGCTTTCCTAGGACATGTATGTTAGTTAGTTGCTCCTACTTTCACTTAGGCTGTTAGCGGTGACATTGCTGTTTTGTGACATTTTATATCCAAGGTTGCATCGCATGGACTCAGCATGGAACTTGCTCCGCATCCTAGACTACTCAAGTTTTCTTTTCTTTGGT